TTCTAACAGCCACCCAGACTATATAAGCAAATAATTGTAATAGGCAGCAATTGTATAATGTAGGTAAGATAGAATTGAATTTATACTATGATTTTTCTGTTCCAATTATTTTCTAAAGTACTTCATAATCAATTAAAATCTTTGGAGTTTTGTTGATATGTTTGCAAACATGACAATCAGTTGCAACTAAAATCTTTCTACAAGCAAAAATGAGTTGAATATTGATATAATTTTTCTGGTGGTAATCATGAAGGATGAACGTTGGCTCAGACAAAGGAAGAATATTCTTCTTTGCCCTCAAATTCACCCAATGAATGTTGATGTTGATCTGGGCTGATAGATGGATCTTTGGCTAACATCTCATGAAAAATTAGAATTCCAGCAATAAAGCACGCTCCCCATTACGGTACTGAAGTGTTAACTAGGATGTGAGTTCAGGTCCTGGACTGGTCTTGATATGAAGACCTTCTGACAGAAGTAAGTGTATCAAACTGATTCTGAAAGGGTTTAAGGAACTAATCTGAAAGAAATATGGCTACAAGTACATCTAAAACAAAATTTGCCAAATTTTAAAACATGACAAACTTGAACTGTGGTAAATATTTTTCTGCATTGTGCATCTAGTGCCAATTTTTACAGATCTCTATCTGCTGAGAAAGAAAATGCCAAAGTTTGCCAAATTTAATTCATTTATTAGTAGTGAAAAGTTAACATAGGGATGGTTTTGTGATGTCTTTCCTGATTTTCCATTTAACTTACATAAGCAATGTTAGCATCATCCCACAATACCATCCATTTCTCAAAGGACAGTTTTCAAGGTCTGCATCTGTATTACTTGTGCTCATTGGCTGCTTCCTGCTGATTCCCAGACATTTTTCCAGTTTCTCACTACTGAGGTAACTGATCAACAATAAAAAAATGCCAATAAAAGTGCGAACAAACATAATGCATCAATGCTATCTACATTAGGTCATGCAATCTAAGTTGCCTTAGGTAACCTGATATGTTTCTGCAGGGTGACTGTATTAGCTCCCGGGTAACTGGAAGTCTTTCATTTCCCTAAATGGATTTTTCCCAAAGAGGTGCCTATTTTTAGTTCCAAAGGGAATACTTTACAAATTGCTTAACAGGTTGCAAACGTCTCCTTGCAATAGGCAATGTAGTTCCTGTTAAACTGGTATTGTTGCATGGTTTAGAACATTAGCTGAATTAATTTGTCACTCTCACCAAACAGAATTTAGTTATTTTCAACCAAGGAGTTGTTCTCTTCAAAGAAATCTTGTTTTACGTTGTCAATTGGTTACAAATGATCTATAAACATATGGTCACTTCAATGGTTACGGTTATTACAAAAGGGAATAAGGAAGAGAAGAAGCAATAAGCTTGTCCATGAGCTTATGTCCCTGACTAGTACTGGACCTGTGTTATTTCCAATATTGCTGTGGCAACTAGCTTCCTTTGAGCAGCAACCCTTTATGAACAAGTTTCATAGATATTTTCCAATATACATGGTTTTTGAAAGTCATTGCATGAACACAATTTCATTTGCCATGTATATTGTAAAAAGGTAGCTTCCAGTGGCAAGTTAATTAACTTATTGAGTGCTGGAGAGTGAAGGAAAGAGCAAAGACAAAAAAGAATTTCAATTTGCTGAAAGCAGCACTGAAGTAATGTTCTTATAGTGAGACGGTATAAATGAGCCAAGTGCCAAAGAATACACTTTATAGACACAAATAATCGTAAATTAGAAATGTCACCTTTAGAAGAAGGCATTTCTTATTATTGTTAGTGGGGCTGGTGAGTAAGTTTGATGTTTTATTCTCCTGGGGATTAAATGTTCCAGTATGCTGGAGCCCTATCTCTATCAGCTTCACAGAAGGGAGCACAGCCAACTTGTTCCCATACTTCTCTGTGATTGATAGCAGATGGCATGGTTTAAAATAAACCTATCCATTAACAGTACTCAGTGTTTCTACTCAAGGCATTTACAACTGTCTGAACTGCTGCAGAGATTCAAGCAAGGGTACAGTGTGCAGCTCATTTTATCTCTAACAGCTGCACAGGTGCAAATCTTGCCCAGATTATGCATGTTCGATGAAAATTTTCATTAACTTTGCCTTTCCCACTATCAAGCTGCATTCACGCTCCCAGCAAGGGATGCATGTTGATGACTTATTAGTGAGCGTATGATCATTTTGTAATTAGCTTTGTTGTTTTGTTTTCCCCGACCCATGAAAGGAGCGAACATGTTTCTATCTCGAAGATTCTTTCCAGTTTTTAAAAAGGGTTGCTTAAAGCAGTTCTGCTTCCCGAACTATTTAAAAATCTGGAGTAAAATTGAATTGATTACTGATAAATTCCTCACCGACCTGTCACATCTATGACATTTGTCACAGATAACGAGGAAAATAGAAGCATATTGGAGTGCGCTGCGATGAATGACTTTATGGACCTTATGTACGATGAGCATTCCGAAGAAGTTTAGACAGATCTGTTATATTGGGGAGCCATAAATAATGTGTGTCATATCAAGAGTTGATGTAACAGCTTTTTGAGAGAGTTTGTGTCAAAAAGCATATTGGTACAGATATAGATAGGGAGATAATTATACACTACTCTCGAGGGTGTTGAGTATTTAAGGTTCTCGAAATGCTGACTTTCATCTTGTGTGCCTAACTTTTTAACATCATATAGCATTTCAAAAGTAATCTGAATTTTAATACAATTTTGTTTATTATAACTCCCTACACTCAAAAGCACACATATTGATGATATTAATGTCTATTTTCATTGCCTTTAACAGAAAAATACTTCTGTGAATTAAAAAAGCACAGTACCTGTTTAAATGAATTGAAACCAGTGAATATATTAAACATGAAAAAATTGAAGAATCCATGAGCAGAAGAGGCATTTTCTGTGTGCCATGAGTTACGCTTATAAAGAAAGTAAAAACATTATGTAATCGTGCTTGATTTTATTCATATATTGGTATAGATTCCATGCTTCATAACTAAAGACAAGATTCTCTGTCTCTTATTGATAAGAAAGGATTAATTATTACTAGATTACTCATAAAGTATCATAGAGGTTCAGAGACAGTAAATTCACATGAACGCTGGATTCACTGCTGTGCTTATTCAGTAAATAAATATTTGTCAACTGACCCTTGGATCAGCTTCAAATACGCTTTTTACATCCTCTTCTTAGGTGTGCCCCTTCTTGCTGAAACTCTCAACCTAACATGTTAGGAAAATAAATTGTTCTTTATGTAAACAGAGCAAATTGTCAGATGAGATTGCTTTAGTTAAGAAAGTAATATAATCTATTTTTAAAATACATACTCCCTAATGCTTTATTGCAACCCTTTCTTATTGTATTCTGCATGCAAGGCCTGAACTAATTTAATTATAATACAGGTTTCTATGGTTTAAAATTGATCTCACATGCTTTGTGAAACCAGCCGAACAGCTAACCTCCTCAAACCAGCATCAAACCAATTTCTTCTGGTTAGACAAAGTATTTTAGGAGATCCAAAATTATAACGGCAGGAGAAAGCTTTAGGATCTAGACTCTACCAGTATGTTTGAAGATTTGTTGATAAATCTGTTGCTGGCACATTGAGTAAAGCTTTCCCATTTGTATTGCTAGACATGTCAATGGCTGCAATTGTTTCTTGTTATCCTTGTATGTTGTATGCATGTATCCAAAGCAGGTGATTTTCTTTTTAAGAAGCAAAGGAGCAGAAATCAATAGAAAATATAAATGAGATTCAGCACAGCAGACACAATAGATTGGCCAATAGAAATATTGGCTAAGACTGCTGCAACTAACAGTTTCCAAACGTTATATCTTACGTACATTGATACAGCATGAGCAGTTACAGTTGTCAATCATGAGTAGAGCTTAAGGTAAGTTACAGCAGAGCAAACACCATCAAACTCATTGCTGCCACTTTATTCATGTTAACATTTAGTGGATTAACCTCAACCATCAAATACAATCATATCTCAAAATGCTGCTCCCTACTTATTTGGCATCTAGCATTAATATAAACTTCATTGCAGGTGTGAGACAAAATGCGCACTTAAGTTATAAAGTAAAACACCTCAGTGTTATGGTTAAATATTATTATGAGAGTAGAGGAATATTGTCCAGTGTTCCTGTTGTCGAATTTTGATAATACTTTATTTTGTAAAATCTACTAAAAATAAATGTAAAAGCCAGCAAACATTCATCATGACCAGAAGATTTAACTATAAGTATTTTATAAAGGGTTACATGAATGGGTGGATAATCCAAGAAAAATTGAAACAGATGTTTGGCTCAATTAGCAGCACTTCTGCTTTGGGATCATAAAGCTGTGAGTTTAAGCCCTACCTAACATTGACAGGCGGGTGTACGGTTAGGAGGAGTCCACTTATAAAGGCTTAGTTATTTCATGTGACATTAAACTGAGTAGCTTGTGGAGAAGAAAAGAAATTTGAACGTCAACACAACTCTGTTACAGAGCAAGATGCACTTCCCCATAGGAAACAAAATGGAGAAAGGGAGGATGGTTGGATCTAATCAAGCTTGGCCACTCTTTACTGTTTCTTCTAACAACATTGGTAGAGGCTGGAGAAGATGTTGCCAGACAGACTTTATGCAGCGCAGGAAAGAAAAAATGCAATTAACTATTGAGAAAAATAAAGTAAGTTATCTGAAAAAATCAGTCACTCCACTACTTATGGGCAATATACTCTTATAAATGTCCTCCATGCCCCTTGTCATGCTTCCAATGTTACTGTGTAAATAAAATGTGATATCACTCATTCAGTGACATCTTTCCAGTCAAACAGAAAATACAACTTCCTGACCACATTGAATATTCATTCAATGCCCCTCAGTTTTGAAAAAAATTCTACAAAATTGTATTTACTGGCTGAAGATAACAATAACTTAGGCCCTGCATGTCACATCATTTACAGGAAGCATAACTTCCTTCTACGTTACACAAGACCAAACCAAGTGAATTTCTGGTTTCTTAGATTTCTCCTATTCAAAGTATTCCAAAAACTGAAGAAATGTGTTTTTCCCACCCCTGACCAATCCCATTTGGTGATGTAATTCTAAAGGGAGAATTAAGGATTCATGACAAATCAGGCTGTTTCCCAGTCTTGGCCCTTTGCTTTGCCAAACATCATATTTTATTTCAACAGCCACAACTCCTGAGGATTATTCATAAACTGAGAAACGAAGTGTCAGTAGAAGGTAAGTAAAATCTTATAGAAGGAATTGTCCATCTGCTTAGTCAACATGAGAAACATGAAATCAGTTTGGTTTGGCTTGACAGCTGTAAAAATTCTGCTTTCACAGCTTATGACAAACACAGAAAGAATGCAAAAATCCTTTTCTTCATTATTTGCTTTGAGGAAGAAAAAAACATATTTGCAGATTTTTGCACTGTAACTATGGAGAATAGTTTTTTTTTCACAAACATTTTACTAACTTCCTGTCAGTTTACTGAGGAACTTCTAATATGATTTTATTCCACACGGGTGGCTGACTGTCTTGTATTTGGGTGAGAAAATTATATCAAATGCAGATTAAACAGGAAAAGTCCTAGCCCTCTCCATTTCTATGCTGATGCAATTTCTGATTCGAATTTGGTTTCATTTTCAGTTGTTTTGTACAATGCAAAAGAGTAAACGTTTTCCAATGAGGTTAGAGTAGGCTGGGGAGACGTCACAACAACAAAGCAAATAAAGTTTGTAACATTTGTTTGCGAACAAATAAACATATGGCACATGTAACTTCTCCCCACACGTGTGTTGTACAATATGTTTACATTTGGAAATCAATTAAGTATTTATGTCAGAGATAGTAGGAACTGCAGATGCTGGAGAGTCTGAGATAACAAGGTGTAGAGCTGGATGAACACAGCAGG